ATAAATGTTCTTTATCACAAACAATGTGGTTTCAGGCCCAAATCTAGCTATGTCACTATCAGCGACTATAGACATTGTTACCAAAATATAAAAAAATATAGATGAAAAAAAGGTTGCTCTTGGCATCTTCATCGATCTAAACAAGGCGTTCAATACAGTCTACACAAAATACTTTTGGATAAGTTACACGATACAGGTATCACAGCAACGCCTCTTGAACTTCTTAATTCATACCTCTCCGACCGTTATTAGATAGTTAAACTTGCAGGACACAAAAGCAGCCTTAATCAAATAACGTACGGCATCCCTCAAGGCTCAATTTAAGACCCATCGCTTTTCTTTATTTACATAAATAACGTAAGAACTTTAGAACTAAAAAGAGACCTATCACTATATGCGGACGATACCAGCTTATTTTACTTCGGTAAGAATATTGAATTCGTTAATCAAAACGGGAAAAATGACCTAAACATACTAAATATGTGGTTTTGCTCAAATCTTCTTACAATAAACGTAGCCAAAACAAACTTTATAATTTTTGCAGCAAAAAATAAAAAAATACCTGATCTCACACCTCAAACAATTAATGACATCGTATTCAATAAAGTAACAAGCGAGAAGTATTAGGACCTTACTTTAGATAACCAACTGACATGGAAAGAACACCTAACCGGAGCACTAAGCAAATTATTCGCTGCCTTCCACAGAAAGTCCGTTACACTTTCTATAACTCAATAGCTAAGCCACACATCGATTATCTGGAAAAAATCTGGGAATCAACTGCCAAAACTAACCTCAATTCTGTTCAAAACGCGCAAAACGAGTACAATAAATTGCCTATAGATATCAAGGAAGCTAAAAGTATGCTAACATTTTAAAAACTGTTAACATAGCCTACAAAATCACAAACTATAATAACACCCTAACTACTAAATAATAATAATTTAATGTATTTCTCATTTAAGTGAGTTTTTGTAAATTCTTATGAGAATAAATGTCTTTGATCCCATTTTACTAAAACTATATATACATGAACCAACTCCGATATCCAAAACAGGTATTAAAAAAAGGAATAGATGTCTACAGAAGCGACTTAACCACCGCTTAAACAGTTTTATGCATTTATTTTTTGTTAGATATTTTGTATTCAAAATTTTGTGTTTGAGAGAAAGAGAGAGCTTTGAGGTTCATTCCTTCCACTCAATCACGATAACAATTAATTCACCAGACAAAAAATTCAATTCAGCTTCATGGTAAAGTCGTCTTAGTTTTTTGTTAACTTTATCGTACAGTAATAAAATTAAATTATTTTGAGGAAAATAATAACACCTAATAAAATATTTTTTGACTTTTACAAATTTTAAACACTTCAGTTAGCCTTATTAAAACCTAAATTCTACAAATCAATTAAGTAAGCATTTTTGAAAGATTTGATTACTTATTATTATATTATATTCTTTACTATACATCTGATGCGACAAGCGAAATGGTTGTTACCAAAATACACCCGCAATCAATGTCAAACAAAGAAGGCTACAGAAGTATTGTCCTTTGAGGGCCAAGATGAAATGGCTTCCTGCTTGTCCTTATACTGGCCTTCTATATGCATTCAGATCAGAACTAAGAAGTGCGTACTCTATTATTTTGCGGAAAAATTGTTAATGATACCTACCCAAACTTAAAGGCGCGAAATATAATTTTACTTATTTACTAATGTATATTATCTGTAAATGCTGATTATTATTTTTTTTTAAATATTTACTTAATTTCACCAATTTTCTAATTTTAAGTTGAGCATAATCGTTAGATGAATTTCTATATCATCAGTCCACCACGACATGACGAAATGGCGTATCAACTTTATAATACGTATAAAGACAAAAGTAGCTAGAAAATATCTTAACGATGTTAAGAAATTTTACAAATTAAATATTGTCGGCATCCCTAAATCTAGCTGGCAGCAGATGAATTCAAGTCCAAATAGACTTGTGATAATTTTATCGGTGGATACGAAGCAATTGTATTAAGTTCAATACAGTTATAATATAATCTCGCTTTTATATCCTTTAATCTATACTTAAAACTTTAATTAAATTAAAATAGGGAGTAACAGAAAAGCAGGGCTGACAAGAGTATTTGTAAAATCTATTGATTTAGTTTTTGTGTACTTAGTATTTCATTCACAGTTTCCTATTCTTCTTCTTACACTTTCTTCTTTATAAGCCGTTAGAACCACTAAGCGCAACACAATCCACTGCTAGACTTTAATCTTGTAAATAACTTGTACCAATGTTTTGGGTTTCGATTCTGTTTAATGCTGCGAATTTTAATTTCAAATTTAAATAATAATTGTGAGTTATAAAAATAATTTCGTCTTTATTTTGAATATAGACTTTACACCTGATGGTAAGTGCTGATACAGCCAAAGATGTTCATGCGCACCAAAAGTCTATTCTTTCCTGCCTTGAAGATACCCAAATTGTATTAGGACGGAATGGCAGATGTTGGTAACTTATTTTCTTCATTTGCTGTACGCATGACACAAGATAAAGCACACCATTTGTTTTGAATGCATGGTAAGTCAACAACAAACGGATGAAAATTTTCTGATTGACGGATGATAGATTGAAGAGAGACGACACACACACACACACACACACACACGCACGCACGCACGCACGCACGCACGCACAGCACGCACGCACGCACGCACGCACGCACGCACGCACGCACGCACGCACGCACGCACGCACGCACGCACGCACCGCACGCACGCACGCACGCACGCACGCACGCACGCACGCACGCACGCACGCACGCACGCACGCACGCACCCACGCACGCACGCACGCACGCACGCACGCACGCACGCACGCACGCACGCACGCACGCACGCACGCACGCACGCACGCACGCACAGCACGCACGCACGCACGCACATTCTATTCTGTCCAAAGCTGCTTGGTGGCATTCTGAATTTAGTTACTTTCTTAAAAACACTCTGTAGATTTTATCTCAAGGTATTATACCAACGCTATAATTTGACAGCATTGGCGACTGTAATGATGTTCTTATTAATTTCAACTAAGTTGACATTTTTTGATTTTGGGAATTATTAGAATTTAACTGCGCTACATAATTATATTCCTCATAAGAACATAAACAATCTACTAGATTAGCTGGTGGATTATTGATCGCAGTCTCAATTGTCTCGGTAACTTTGACACTGCTTCCTGTCGCTGGTATATCAAGTAGATTTCGAATACTATATAAAAGATCATAAAACCTTGTTTTGTATCAAAGGTCACAAGAACATCTAGGCCCTTCCCCTAAAATCGTATCTAACAACACACGGGATGTAATGATAAATTATGGTCAGGTAAATGTCCCCATAGACCCAAAACCATCTTTAATTTTACAAAAACAACAACAAAATACATTATAAAGCCTAAATAATACGACGGGTTAAGAATTTAGCTGCTCTATCTAATGGAGCAACAATACGCAAATACCCGACAGTCGATTATTTATTGTGTTAGACAAACATTAGCTTTGTCTGAAATTCAAATGAAGGACATTTAAAGAGCTATGAGGTTGTTAGTAAGACAAACCAACTTGACATTGCCGTATTTCAGTTGTCAATCGAATGATACTGGGTAATAATACAGATCAGAATTTAGATATATTTTAAGATAGTTTTTAGTTTTTTTCATCAGTAAGGAGTTATAATTGATAAAAATTTAATCGAATAAAGTTGCAGCTACATTTATTTTGTTATATTTTATGCTGCAGAAAATAAGATTTATTTTTTATTTCAGACGTTTCTAATAATAAGTAAAGTAACAGCCTAAGTAAGCCTCACTGGTAAAATAATTGAGAGTAGCCCTGTACCGGTGGGTACTTTAATTCTTTTACCCGCGGTGGCAAGCGTTATGTAAAATAAGTAAAATTATTATCTTGTGCTTACTGTTGTTGCTTTATTAATTAATATTTTATATAAGTAAGAATAACTTACAAGCAGTCAGAGTGGCTCATAAAGATTTTTACAATTAGTAAAAAGAGTTTTCACGTATTTTTACATATTGTATAAGTATTTCTACATGTGGTATAAAAGCATTTTACCGTTAATGTTACAGCCTAGTAAAGTCCACTGCTGAAGATAGGCCTCGCACATAGATTGTCTCATAGTGTGGCTATTTGCCATAGTGACCACGCTTGACAAGCTAGTTGACAACCGGAGTATTTTTTTATTCGTTATTAGGAAGACGCTGCTGCCCATCTCCTTATTTGTCTTCCTCTGTCGCCTCTTACGATACCCATCGTACGATATGTGGTAGTGGATATTCTTACTCCGTCACTACACGCTACATACAGGGTATATATTTTACATGTTGCATAAAAGCATTAATAAGTTAATATTATATTATAAATTAAGGACTATATTATGGTATTGTTAACTTAGCATGGTTTTAATTGTAAATCAATTTAAAACATTGTATTTCAATATTTGGAGTCCTTTTAGTATATAAAATCGCGTTAACATGTTTTTGATATATTCCATAATACAATGTGTATTAACTTAGTTAACCTTTAATTAGCCGCGCGGGGTCACCGCGACCCCAAGTGATCTTCAAGTTAAGTTATTTGTTTAGCTATTGAAACTGGCAACCCAAGTTTTTTGCTAGCTTCCTAACTCTTTAGTCTGCACTCAATTCAGTGTCGCCCGCGCCGTGGAGTTGATTGCACGCACTACGCGGAGGGGCTTGGGGTCGCGATGACCCCGCACGACATATTAAGATTTTAAACATTTTTTTCACCTTATCATGTCAATTTCGAAAATATTTATTCATATAAAATACAAAATTATGTTATTTTTTTATGTTTTTGTTTGGTAAACACATGCTATTACGTTTTGATTTTTCTCTATGCGTATAAACTACAATAACTTTTTGTAGTTTATCAAGTTTTTTAACAGTTATCTTTCACAGAATTATTTCAACATGGCCCAAAATAGGCAGGGTCATCGACTTGAACAAATAAGTGCGATTCTTGAAGATGAAGAAGAAGACTTCGATGAGACAGACGATGAGTTGGGCCTAGAAGGAGACGCAGATACATTTTGGGAGCCAGAGTATGAATCGAACTGTGTTCCACATATAACGTTGCTTGGCGGACGAAGAGATGGCCTATTGTTATCATTTTTTCATTTATTCAATGTGTTTACTATAAATAAATTCGTTATTTATAACTTCAATAACAATGAGGATACCATAAACAGACGAATTTTTCTAAAGTTATTATCAACAGAATCAGTAAAGGCACATAGATTATCGCGAGCAATAGTTCCGTCCCTGCCTAGTACTTTGAAAAAGCTATTGTTGGAACCTGACTACGTCTCCTACAACATCTAACATAGAATTGCACCCAGCAAAAAGAGGAACTTGCTACATCTGTTCACGAAAATGCGACAGGAAAACGACCGCAAAGTGCAAAAAGTGCAACAATCATATCTACGACGATTATACAAAGAAAATTTGTGATAATTGTTTAATTGTAATAGTACTTACGAAAAACATATTTTTCTATTGTTCTAAATATCTTTCTAGATTTTTTTTTGGTATTTTTGTACGATTATGGGGTTCATTTTGCATGTCTAAATTTCCAGAACGGAAGCGAGCAAACGAATAGGGGAAGTTGAAAATTTGAAAATAGAATATTTAAAATCTCTATATTTCAAAGCTACCTTGCGCTCATTATTTTGCTTGTTAATAGAAGTTAATGTAAATAAGGATTATTACACAAATGGTAGGTACACAACATCATTGTGTATAATATAAAATAAATAAAATAAGTGACTAAAGTACCAAGTTGATTAAAATATCCTTCCTGTCATAAACCACCAGAACATCTCGTATCTGCCGCAAGCTGTCATCAAAATAGGATTTATCTATTTTATCTAGGATAATATCTCTTACACATGCAGACATTAAGCACTCTTGTTAAGTTAAGGATTTAGCAATATAATGTGAAGTTTCAAATATTAAGTAGAACTTGGAAAATGAGAAAGATGGAAATGTCTTATTCCAAAATATTTTCACTACCACGCTTTTACAAAATATCAGAGTGAAATGTAGTTTAAGAACTTTATTGTAGTGTAATAATTTGCTTACTGAAAAACTCAATTTAACAAAATATACTTATATTGAGCATACAGTAAATATTATATAAAATAAAATAAAATGTAGATCGTCTTCAAATCCTACAACAATTAATACATGAATAATACCAATCGAGGAAAAACGGATTTGTGTAAAAAAGCTAGGTATGGCATTAATCATTATCACTCACAGCTTACGAATAGTACTTGGTAACTTCATTTATTAATGGAGTTTAATAAATATGCCTGAAGTAATTTTTAGGTAGTTTATAGAATAAATATCCACCTTTAAATTCAATGTCTTTTTTCCGGTTATTCTGAGTAGACGTGTTACTAAATAATTTACTTTGCGTAATTTTATTTTATGTATTTGTTATTTTTTATTAAAATTCAATGATGTATAGTACTTGTGTAATACTTATTAGAGTGCAGTAAATTCGTTAATTTAGTATTATGTATATACTATGATATTATTCTATGTTTAGTATTATCAAATTTGTATGTATTCGAAATTTATAATTAAATAAAACCAATCTAAATTTTATTTAGCAGCAGTCCACCAAATTTCAATACAATAGGTAATATAAGGATTTTATCGCGTTTAATTACTTTAATTTATTTTTATTATTATCCCGACGTTTCGGGTGCTTTACAGCACCCATGTCACAGGGGGGACTGAGATGTTTGACGTCCCAATGTCATAGTTAGTCCGGCTACCTTCGGTTTTTTTAATATTAATTTTGGTCCGATTTACACAAAACGAGCTTATAGTATCATGAAGTCTTACAGTGGTATGCTCGGGTTTGGGTTTAATTTTGTTAATTATAGGATCCCAAGCAGATGCTAGCACCCAACCATCTTCTCCATTGAAATTTGGATGTTTTTTTAATTTCAATAGCCTCGCGTATCATCCTTGGTAGGAATCGCTGTTCTTTTGCGAGAATTTGTGGTTTATCAAATCTAATGTAATGGTGGGGGACGATCTTGAACATGTTCGCAGACTGCAGACTTCCCGGAGCGTCGGTGCTTCACATCAGCTATATGTTCCTTCACGCGGGTTTTATAGATCTCTTTGTTTGACCTATGTAAGAGAGACCACATTCACAATCTAGCTTGTACACACCTGCATCTTGTAGAGGAATATTACATTTGATGGATGGTAAAAATTTACTAATCTTCTTCAGCGGCTTGTAGTATGTCTTAATGGACGCTCGCTTCAAGATGTAGCCAATGTTGCCCGTGACTCCTCTGACATATGGTAGTAGAGCAGGCGCGCGCTCGACTGTGGCCGGCTTCACTCGTTCACTGTGACGTAGGCGCGGGACCCGAAGCTTGTTGTCTTGCAATACTTGCTTGACGTGCTGAAGCTCCGCGGCCAGATGTTTTCTGTCACAGATCCCTCGTGCTCTCTGAAACAAAGATTTACCCACGGTAGCTAACTGTGAAGGATGATGGTGATATTCACCATTTAGATATCGGTTGGTATGGGTCTTTTTCCTATACACAGTGTGACCAATAGTGTTATCAGGATTTCGGATGACTAAAACATCTAGGAAGGATAAAGAATTATTTGTCTCTAACCCCATTGTGAATTATATTTTAGAGTTTATGGAGTTAAGGTGGTCTAAAAATGCAGTTACTTTGTCAGATGGTAAAATTGTGAAAGTGTCGTCTACGTACCGCTTGTAGAACCTTGGATTTACAGGAGCAGTAAGAAGGGCTTTCTCCTCAAAGTCCTCCATGAATATGTCGGCGACTATGGGAGACACAGGTGAGCCCATCGCCACACCATCTACTTGCTTGTAGAACTCCTCCTTCCACAATAGATAGCCAGATGTGAGGCAATGTTCAAGTAGTATTGCATATTCTTGAGGCATGTTATTTTCTTCTAGCTTCCTAGTTACAATTGAGATGCAGTCCACAATAGGTAGGCATGTAAATAGTGACTGAACATCAAAACTGACCATAGTTTCATTGTTAGCGAGATGTAGGTCTTTTATCTCACTCACAAAATGGTATGAATCCTTTGTGTGTGCTCTGGTATGTCCTCTCAGTGGTGATAGTATTTTTTGCTAAGTATTGTGCCAGCTTATAAGTTGGTGAATCGATTTGGCTCACTATGGGACGTAGTGGAGCGTTTGGTTTGTGTATCTTCGGTAACCCATACAACCTCGGTCGTTTGGCACATGGTGGTATTAGCGAATTCACGTCGAGATTTAATTTTTCGGAGTATTTCTTTATTAAATCGCTAGTTGTTTTAAGCGTGTTAGTTGTAGGGTCTGTTTTGACCTTTTTATATGTACTTTCGTCCGATAAAAGGTTTGGTTTCGGCACTGAACTACGACGTAACAAGGACGAAATATCTTGACCTATGGCCTCCAAATCTTCCTTACTGATATTATTCTTAAACAGACAATCCTCAACACTGCAGATAATTTCTTCGTACGGGATTTTTCGCGGAGTTAATGCGAAGTTCATTCCCTTCGCTAATACTTTCATTGTCGGTTCGTCCAGTGATTGTTTTGACAAATTATAGACAGCGCGTTGTTAATAGTTTGTGTCTATGGTCAACGGTTGTTTATTGTTCTGGCGTTGACTTGGATGTTTGGCATTTGTTTGCAAATTAACGATCAAATCAAATGCCAAACATCCAAGTCAAATAATAAAATAAAAGTATAGGAAAAAGACCCATACCAACCGATATCTAAATGGTGAATCTCACCATCATCCTTCACAGTTAGCTACCGTGGGTAAATCTTTGTTTCTGAGAGCACGAGGGATCTGTGACAGAAAACATCTGGCCGCGTAGCTTCAGCACGTCAAACAAGTATTGCAAGACAACAAGCTTCGGGTCCCGCGCCTACGTCACAGTGAACGAGTGAAGCCGGCCACAGTCGAGCGCGCGCCTGCTCTACTACCATATGTCAGAGGAGTCACGGACAAGATTGGCTACATCTTGAAGCGAGCGTCCATTAAGACATACTACAAGCCGCTGAAGAAGATTAGTCAATTTTACCATCCATCAAATGTAATATTCCTCTACAAGATGCAGGTGTGTACAATCTAGATTGTGAATGTGGTCTCTCTTACATAGGTCAAACAAAGAGATCTATAAAAACCCGCGTGAAGGAACATATAGCTGATGTGAAGCACCGACGCTCGGGGAAGTCTTCAGTCTGCGAACATGTTCAAGATCGTCGCCACCATTACATTAGATTTGATAAACCACAAATTCTCGCAAAAGAACACCGATTCCTACCAAGGATGATACGCGAGGCTATTGAAATTAAAAAACATCCAAATTTCAATAGAGAAGATGGTTGGGTGCTACCATCTGCTTGGGATCCTATAATTAACAAAATTAAACCCAAACCCAAACATACCACTGCAAGACTTCATGATACTATAAGCTCGTTTTGCGTAAATCGGACCAAAAATTAATATTAAATAAAACTGAATGTAGCCGGACTAACTATGACATTGGGACGTCAAACATCTCAGTCCCCCTCGTGACCATGGGTGCTGTAAAGCACCCGAAACGTCGGGATAATAATAAAAATAAATTAAAGTAATTCAATGCGATAAAATCCGTAAATAATAGTTTTATTCAAAGGTAATATAAGGTTTAACTTAAAAATGATGAATTATGTACCGATCGTTTCTAGGTAGACATAGTTATGTCGTGAAGAGTCCCCGAAAGTGTTAGTAATTAGGATTTGATTTTTTTCTATAATTGGCTTCCAATTAAGGTCATAATCTAAAATAAGTCCTGAGTGTACGGTCTCTTCGGGTCGTCGTCGATGGCTGCTCATCCGATTCTGTGGCGACTGACGCCAGTGTTCCTCAAGGGTCTGTTCTCTCCGCAGCTCTCTTCCTGCCGCATATTAACGATCTGATTATGCCCGGTATCTATGGGTATGCAGACGATAAGCACAGTTGTGGAGAGATACCAACCAAGTGCTTGGGTGAGTCGGTGTCAAATCCAGTCCGAAAGAGAGGCTATGATTTCGCGTGTGAATTTCAAACTACAGGCAGTTTCCGAATGGAGCGATGGCAATTTCGTGAGATTCAACGCCTCCAAAACACAAGCGTGTCTTTTCGCTGCTAAAAGGAGCCCGCTCACCCTGGCTCCTACTTTCCGGAATGTATCCTTGGAGTACACTGACGGCCTTCAGTTGTTAGGGGTTGAATTTTCTCCGAACCTCAGCTATGGGCATTTCATTGAGTTCAGCGCCAATGCAGCCGCAAGGAAAC